TCAATCATTCTGAACTCATGTAGGCTAATTAGTCTAAAACAGGATAAAAACATTGTCATCTCAAGGGCCATTAAGGGGAAACCCTACTCTAGTTATAGATAAACCAGACTATATCAAGGATGTCACTGAATACATTACAATGGGTCCATATAAAGAAATTAGGAAGTCTGTAGATGTAGTAATGAATAAGATTAGGACAGGAGATTTTAATCCACAACAGATTAAATGCTCAGAATGAAGCCGTCACCAGATGAGTCTGAATGGTTTAATTTGATGCCTAAAACTAATAATGCTACTAGAATATATGCGTATTATAAAAATACATAAACCAGGTTACCCCATACAACCAATAGTAGATCACAGTTAAACTCCTATTTATGAATTATCAAAACACTTAGCTCTAGTATTATGTCCCGTTAGAAAACATTCAAACTCTAGATTAACTATTTCATGAAAAAGAAAGTAAATGACATTCAACTGGAGAATGATGAAACAATGGTTAGTTTTGATATAACTAGTCTTTATACTAATATACCAATCAATACGGCCTTTACATCGGTAGCACAGTGGTTAGGACCCTCACCGACCATGCACATGGCCCGAGGTTCGATCCCCTACCGACGCACACCTGATATCTATGGTCGGCCTGCAAAATTTGGGCTACCGATATCCATGCTGAAAACTCCATACTTCTTGTGCCAAAAATATAGTGTGGAATCAAGCTGCAATCAAAAATAAAATAAATAAATAAATAAAAGAGTTAACTGCAGATCCTGAACTCACTTATAAGACGAAACTACCCATAGAAGAAATTATTTCAGGAATTCAATTATGCTGCCTCACGTCTACTATCTTTAAATTCCAAGTGAAAATATATAGACTAACAGAGGGTATAGCGATGGGATCAACAATATCCCCTATCGTAGTAGACTTATTTATGGACAACTGGGAAAGTAATGCTCTTAATACGTTTACTCCTACTCCAAAAATATGGTGGAGATGTGTGGATGACACTTTCACTCACAGTGGTAAAAACAGAAAATATCTCCAGCTTCTTCACACATGTAGACTCGTAAGTAAAGGGAATAAAATACACATTTGAATCAGAAAATGAACAAGGAGAATTAGGTATGTCAAATTGTAAAATAAAATGAACAGAAGAAGGCGAACTGTACACTGGCGTTTATCAAAGCCAACTAATTCTAAAATTGGATGTTTTGACTTTAATTCATCCCATCCATTATCTGTGGAAGCAGGTTTATTTTAATGTCTGACAAACAGGGTAATAACACTAAATAGTACATCAAGAAACCTAAGTAATGAAGCGAGACAGATAGAAGAAGTGTTGGCGTTAAATAACTAACTATCCTATGAAATTCAACAGGAAGACCGAAAACATCAAAAGCAAAATGAAAAAATAATTTTGAAACTAGTAATAATAACATAAATAAGAGAGAATATAAGTAATCTACAGTTATACCATATAAAGAGGGGATATCTGAGACCCTACGTAGGATTCCTAATAAAGCAGGAATTAGGGTGGCATTCAAACCTACTAAAACTCACTCAGAGACAAGCTTTGTAGGCTAAAAGACCCGGTGGATCCAATTGAACAAAATAATATAATTTACAAAATACCTTGCAATGACTGTGAGTTAAGTCAACTATATAGGTGAAACCAGTGGGATGTGTATAGTGAGATTATCAGAACATAAGAATTTAGCTAACTTTAGAATGATTGACCCCACGAAGACACATGAATAGTCCAGAAAAACACTCACTAGTTGCACTGTATGCACTAATACACAACTGTAGGACAGGGTAGGAGAGAGTTAAAATCCTAAGAAGTAATATATATAGGTGGAGAGCGATACAGGTTAATTACTGAATCTTTGTTCATTGAATAATCTACACACATGCAATAGGAACGACTCATCACCAATACCAGAAATACGAAAAATACTACTACCAATCATATCAAGCAATGAGAAATAATAGAGTTATACAAACAAAGTTGTAAAGTTGTGTGAGCAACTTGACATGATATGATTATGAGCGGCAATGAATTGTGCTCAAGACGTGGTCATTAGTCAGTATTACTGTATAACACTGTGAGACTTTATTAAAATAAATTTTATCCATATGGGAACTTTCATTTACAATGTTTATAAGTGAATGCCCTGTCCATATTTTTCAGCTCCATGGTTGGAAATTACTGAAGCTATGATTTGATGTTTCATAATTTAACCATCTCGCTTAGAGATACACTATCATCAAAAGTATTCACTACAGTAATAAATTCCCTAATGCATAGGTGGCACAGAGGTAAAATTTTCACCAGCCATTCACGTGGTTCGGAGTTCAATCACCAGTCGATCCGCCCCCAAAACTCGCTTTGTTGGTAATAATAAGACTGACAAAGAGGGAAGGTTAGACGTTGAGACTAGCAACCCAACCCTAGAAAAATAAAACCACTGCTATGGAAACTTTGAAGCTCTATCTTGAAATCCTATGTTCCACTGGGAACTCAAAGGAATAAAAACAAAAGTACTTCTTCTTCTGATGAAGCGGAGCTCTCTCCTCCAACATATGATTCACGATTATTGTTAGTTTTTAGTGATACTTCCAGTAGTTGAGTAGCAAGAAGAAGTAGGTTTTCTTTCCGCTAATAAATTAATTTGAAATTTGAATAAGGCATTAAGAAGACAAATTTCGCCGCGAGATGATATCGTCATTTCGTAGTTTCTTTACAACCGATTTACAACTAACATGGTTAACAATGATAAAATAAAGTTCATGAAAATTACTCAGTTAAATTAAAAACAAAAGTACATACTAATGACCAATCATATTAAGATAGGTCATGCAGTCCAGGGTAGGCGAAGATTGAAGTCTATTGATTTTTGTACACACAGTTTAGGCTGTATGTGATTAATCCCCCAAAGTGCTTCCATCACCTTCAATAACCTTGAATTAGAGTTATGTGAAATAATTGTGAAACAGTCATTAGTATTGATTTTGTGACCAGACATTAATAAGTGTTTTGCAATGGATGATGCTGGATTTCTATTAAGATTAATCGCGTTAGGATTTTCGATATGATTTACTAGCCATTTTGGAACATGTTCTTTTCGACGACATTGGAACATTCTGTTAGTTCTACCTATATAGGTGTTTCATATCAAGATCGCTGTATTCTACGCAGATGTCTTTCAGAACTCTTAAAGAAGTGTCTTCACTGAGTAGTGTGTTTTTAATCATATATATATATATATATATATATATATATATATATATATATTGTGGCATTAGGAAAACACAATATTCAGTGAAGAGACGCTTTTCGATATGTATATGGTTTTTAATAAATTATATCCGGTGAGGGAATTAGGTCAAAGGTGTGAATACATGAAGTAATAATAGTAGTAGTATGAAATGCAATTAAAATATTTGTGATTATAATCATAGTTTAATGTCAAGTGGCAAAACCATCAGTGTCACAAGGTGTATAGATGTTGGAAAGGGGTACATAATTATAGGATTAATAGGCGAACATAAAATGTTACATAACATGGTGTGAAATTTCATAAGATAGAATTCAATATTGTAAAAATAGAATTTTAAAAAATTAGTAATTTACGGTTTAAAATGACAAGTGGGTCAAGTGGAAAAGTTTCAGAGTGAGAATAGTAATGATATTAATAATAATCGTAGTATTGAGGGAAAGGTAATTAGATTGACAAAATAAATAAATGTCTATCCCTCTACGGCCAAGACAGAAGTAGGGGTTGTACATACTTCTTTTGTACACAAAAGTCTGGCTTAAAGTCGTGAATGGATAGCTAAGGCCTCTGCTATCTTTAGAAATCTGTAACGAAGAAAACACGGCTAGCAAGTTAGCATGGATTTGCTAGATTATCTTAAAATCATAGTCAGGGTTGGCAGAATGACAGGAGTCGATCACGTGTTCTAGAAAAGAGCTTCGCACACACACACACACTTCCTTTCTCCCTTGTAAAATCATGCTGCTGGAATATGTTCTCATATCCGTGTGTAGAAAGCGTCCTCTGGCTATAGCCAATGTACCTTGCTCCACAAGAAGAGCATGTGAACTGATAGATGCACATGTAGGCGGCCAGACGGTGGAGCTTATCTTTTACAGAGGTGTAGAACAACTTGCGGCTAGTGAACTGTGAAGAACGATATTTGAGCACATCTAAAGCTTGATCACCTTTCGATTCCAAATTCATAAATAAGGTTTTCTTTGGAACTGAGTTGTTGGCCAATTTAGACTGCTTATCTTTCGTGTTGCTGTCAATAAATCGGTTCACGTAATAGTTTTCTCTGAGCATGGCTTTTAGGAAGTCAAGTTCTGAGTCAACTCAATCAGAACTACAAATGTTTCTTATCCTAAAGCAAGGGGAATGAATTAAGTTCCTTTTCCTGGAAATAGGCACCCAATTGTAAAAATTAGTTAGTTGTCCGTTCCATGTACGTTTCTGGTTAATAGATCTTTTAAGAGATCTGTCATTACGTCTGCTAAGGCACACACACACACATCAAGAAACGGAATAATACTCAGTTGAGATTCTTTTTCTATGATGAATTGTAAAGAAGGATGGCAGTTGTTGAAAACAAACAAGACTTCATCAAGGTGTAAGTTAATTATCACAGATAACGCGAATGTCGTCTACGTATCTTTTATAAATGCCGAAATGATCGATGGTTTGACAGTGTATATCTGTATATATATATACTGTGTGTTTAATCCACTCGACTGATACAAATCAACTACTGCATGTGAGATATTGATTAGTGTAATTTCAAAACTTCAACTATATTCTAATGTAAACATTTTTGACAAATAATAATTGTTGTTATTATGAATTATTATTATTATCATTATGATTATTATTATTGTTACCAAAGTGAGACACATTTAGACTTACACCGTCCAAATACATTTTATAACAATACGAATAAGTGTTAGTACCTTGAAACCTTGACAAAAACTCCAGCAATGTTTTATATTCTGATATTTGATGTTTAAGTGATTACAAAACTTTAGCCAAGTTCGTATGTGTGTGCTTGTATGCATGTGTGTGTGTGTTTGTGTGAATAAGTGAGCGAGTGAGTGAGTGAGTTAGATGGCTAGCTATAAGTCAAATTGCAATTGTTTGCCTACGAAATGTATGTAACCTCATACAATGAATGGATTGGTTAGCACTGTTCTGAATTTGATCTAAGATACAATTATATTATGTTGATGTGTATTGTATTCACAAAGGTATTATACAGTTTTGTATTTAATTTTGTGATAAATACTATTTTTTTTCCAGTAACAAATTGTGATAAAATTTCTATCATTTTTAAGAATAGTTTACGAATTTAGGATTATTAACTTTCTTTATTTTGTAAGTAAGTTGAATTGATAAAATTTTTTTGGGGTGTAAATATGAATTATTGAAGTGCAAAAGGTTGTATACGGTAGCACAGTGATGTAATCTTCTCAGGAATTTAATAATTTTAGTCTTATGATTGGTTACAGGATTTCATCACGAACTGACATCAGTTAGAAGATCATTGGAAAACCAGTCAGGGAGTACTGGACAGCCAGGTGTTTCGTCAGCCTAGTTTGGGATTCTTCATGTGCATGCACTCAATACGGTTTGAACCCAACACCCTCCAGTTACAAGGCGAGTTGGCTCGTAGACCATTAAACCACTGGGATCCGCAAATCTAATGGCCAGCCAGTTCATGAATTCTCACCTCTGCTAATTCACGGCATAGCGCGACCGCTAACCAATGTCTTCTGCGAGTATTTGTCCTCAAGCCCAACCTGCTGCACCCTACTGGTCAAAACTTTGTGAATTCATGGAAGTTAGAGCTCATACACTGGCTGGCCATTGGATCAGGTCTCAGTGGCTTAATGGTCTACGAACTACCTCGCATTGTAACCAGAAGATACTGGGTTCGAACCACAACGGGGTGGATGGGTACTGCTGAAGAGTCCCAAAGTGGGCTGACAAAACAACTGGCTCTCCAGTACTCCCAGTTGGTTTTTCAATCTTTCTCTAACCAATGTCAGTTCATGATGAAATCCTTCAACCAATCAAAATAAAATCCCTATAAATCAATACTTGAAAATCCAGTTTTATGATTTAACCTGAAGGAATTTCAGTGGATGGAATCCAGGATAACGCTCATTCCACTCACCTATTTTGGACTGGCTCATCAGCTATTGGATGTACCTGCATTCCTCAATGAGTGAGTCAGTGATGGTTTCCCCACCGGGGCTCGAACCCAATCAATACTCATAGATTCAAACGCCAAAGTATTATCCCCAAGAGCCACTATCTCCTATGCAACAAGTATCAGTAAGTATTTAATAAAACTCGGGCTTTCCTGTTGATCGATTGGACCAGAATGCTCAGTCCATGCTTGAAACTATATGCACTGGTCTCGAGCCTCAGTGGGAACACTATTGCTCATTGGCGAATGCAGGGATATCCATCTGACGAGTCCCAAGTAGGATGAAATGAGCTTTATCCTGGATTCTACTACTAGTTACCATCTACGGAATTAATTCAGGTTGAATCATCAGACATCATTGAAGCATCCACACAAGGAGCTGACATGTCAACTTGTGGCCGATCACTTCGGTGCAATCAACCAACGGAAATGTCCAAATTGAATTAAATTGACTGATATTATCCGTTTTATAAATGAAATTTTATTCCAGTTGATTATTCGAAAATATTTGAACGAGAAAAGTTAAAATTTATGAAGATATTCTTTGGACTGTTTCTTAGTAGAAATCGTCATTGTATTATACTGCACTTAAGTAGTGAGAAGTTATAACCCCCATTAGATTGTTTGCAGTATGTGCATGTGTGCGTGTGTATTGGACTTCTTACTGACGACTTAGTCCAGCACAGGATAGCACCTCAAATTATAATTCATTACAGTTAGAAACGAGATGAAGATAGCTAACTCTAAGTTACTGGTGAGGTGATGACAATGATATTCGCCTGAGAAATGGGCATAAAACTCTTGAACTTTGATCAGGAATAGTCCAGACGGTACTTCCCAAGGAATTGTCAGTGAATCATGGGGTTCATGCCTAGATGACCGTTAGTTTAGATTCTGTAAGCATCATGACAGGAAAGTCACTTGTCATAGAGAAGATTCATACTTCAGGTGGACGATTTCGGGGTATTTATGTTCTCTAAACTGGATGGTTTAGTTGCGAATATTTAATTGTCTTCCTAGACAACATCGCCAGCGCGTGCTTCAGTTTGAAGTGAGCTTTTAAGATTCTCTACAAGTTTATTGGTCGTCTTTCCTGTCAACTTTGAACGGGATTGATTGTTTTTGGCGTATTTTCTTGTTTGTATGTTTGTAAACTGCTGATTCACTGGAATGCCAGGTGTTTCTTTTGCCTAATATCTGAAGACTGTTTCAGTCGAACTGACGTCCGTGGTTATCTGTATGCAGTGATATGAGTGAGGGAGTGGATGTCTTTTAACGGCCAGTTTACATTCATGAATGCGAAGATAACGAAGCCATCCAATTTGGCCATTGTAATGTTTTTTCACAGTAGTTGAAGTTCGTCTCGCAGATGATGCCGATTTCGTCTTCTTTCTCTGTTGAGTCTTTTAAGTTGACATACAGCCGAGTGAAGCGATTCTTTTGGTTTGTGTGTGACATCAATCCAAAAGGTTTGAATATTCTTGTAGTAGTTTTGGAGATTTACTTTATGTATATTATAAGACAATTTTCTTTGTGTTTTCATTCACTAGAGGCCTTTGTTTTGGTTGGTTTGGCTGGGGGGGGGGGGGAAGATGCCTAGTGAAGAAGTTACGTGGGTATCTATTTCCTTAGAATGGTGCAATGAGTCCTGATTCTCTTGAATAATGTTTGTATGCAACTTTTATTTTGTGTACTATTGTGTCGTTGTCGTTGTAATTGAGTATTTGACCTGTACAAGTTGATTTTCCGCATACATGGGCTTCTAATTTCCCTGTAGTTCTTTGCTTGATTAAGACGTCTAAAGATTGGGATTTAAGTCCTCCGATTCCTCATCCCCTCACAAGCTATTAAACAATATCTTAAACGACGTTGATTTCACAAGAGAAAGTTAATCGAGAATTACAGACACAAGTGTTCAAGGTACCCTTCAATGATATAAGTCTTTGTATAATAGACTGACAAACACATTCGAAAACTAGCCTGATAACTGTCAACTGGCCCTATTTCTACAACCTAATGTCCTATGTGACGTCTAGGGCGTTATTATTATGATATATTATTGTTTTCTTTAGTTCCTAGAGGAAGAACGCACATCGCCATTACATTCGGTTCTCTGACAACATTTTCACCTGGTTCCATGTCTGCACACAATCTTTCATCTCCTCTTCACATGACCTCCTGCTTCATGTCACCCTCACACTGATGACCAACTAACTTTCCGTTTCCTATTTGGGTACCACTCGAGCGATGACCTTGCGTGTGATGTCACTTGAATGTTTGTTTTCTCAGAGTATGGCCTCCAAGCCGCCTCTGTTTCTTCCGGCATATTTGTTGCACAATTGGTTCGTGCTGGGTTGGTTCGTTCATGGCCAGAGATCCCTGTTGCTTATCTTTTCTTGCCGGTCTTCTGATCTTAAGTAGTAGTATTGAGAGAAGACAGTTGTTGATGAAGGTCTGTAGTTCATTTGAGGTGCTCTTCATGACGCACCAAATCTCTGATCCATATAGTAACTAGCACTGACTTCATATTGGAGTTGAAAATCCGGATCTTCTTTTCATTTTCATGTTGAATGCTGAGTGTTGACCTCCATACAGACTTGAGAGAAATGAAATTAATTATTCACTTGCCTTTTAACATTACTTTGAACTTGAAAAGAACGATTTCGACAAATGGTGATCATTCTACATATTATAATATCTCATTTCATTCCATAGATACATAAATATATATATATATATATATATATATATGGTTATCATTGATAAACCGGTGGAAATCGATCAAGAAGCTTCAGAAAATGCTGCAAATATTTATATTAATCCATGCGGTAAGTTGAAAATATACATTTTTCAGCAGTACAATTGGTAGCAACATGTAATATTCGCTTAATTCACTTATACTTTACATTCGCTTTATGTTTAACCATCAATTCGACGGCACACAGTTGTTTGGAGCGTAAATAACCAAAAGTTTTAAAATAACTGGTTGAAGGTTTCTAGTCTTGTTACTCTGTGAGCCAATTGTGTGTGCTGGCTGAAGAGTTTCAAAATGAGACAAAGTATCTTGGTTTTTTTTTGCATAAGTCCCATAGTAGTTATCATTAGATGAAAGAAATTTCTCCACACATTTTACTCTTTCTCAAAGAAAGAGAAATACAATAAAGCATGAATTATTAACGCTGAGAAGCCCCTATTATTATTATTATTATTGTTCCCATGGGTTCCGCTTTGTCTTGTTCGCTCAGGTCCTCCTCATCTGACCACATGATTGTCTATAGTCTCCTCAGTGTCACTCTCGTATCAAGGAACATCTCATTGTCTCCCGTTCGGGTTTCCCTTGAGTGATAGGCTGGCTAACGCACAATGTTACCCCAGCGATCTCCTAAGTGACGTGTGCCCAATCCATTTCCATTTTCTCCTACATATTTGTTGGTTGAACGATCGGTTCTTGGTTGGTTTATTCCTTTCTAGAGTTTCTAGGTAATAATTCTTTCTCGCCAACCGCCATCTGTTCTTCAGTATGGAGCCAGCGAAGGGGGCAGCTGTTGATAAAAGCCTGTACTGGCCTGTTGGAAATGCTTTTCCTGATTCGGCCAGCCAATAATTTTCTAGCCCATATGGAAGAACCCGTTAACTTGACATTAATGTTGGGAATCCGAATTTTGTTCTTTATGCTGAGGTGGAGTGCAGACGATTTTGAAACTGATTCCAGAGTGATGAAGGTGCATGGTGCCTTTCCCATTCTGGCTATCTAACTGTCTTTGACAGCTTCATTCGCTCCGCTATCTGTAGTTGAAATGATGCTTCCTTGCCAGACAAGTAAAAGAAGTAACCTCTTTCAAATTTCTGCCTATTGATTGTGATTGGATTTGGTTGTTTTTACCTGAGAGTAATGTAAAAGATGAGAAATTAAATGGTGTGAAGACAAACCAACACCATACACCATTCTGAGTAGCTTTCAGAAACGATTCATGATAAGGAGAACAAAACTGAAGCGGATTTATCTAATGCTTTATGGGATTAAATACGATGAATAGTAAGAATATCATAAACCATTCAGTTATTCCCCTATTTACAAACAGTATCAACTAATCTATGTTAGGGATGTCTTGTTCTTCATTGTGCGTGTGTGTGTGTGTCGTTTATTAGATTCGATTAGTTGGAGGATTTAACCATGAACTGACATCAGTTGGAGAACCACTGGAAAACCAGTAATCGAGTAGTGAGCAGCCAGTTGTTTCATCGCCATAGTTTAGGACCCTTCAGTAGTACCCAGCAACTTCACAGCCAGACGACTTCCAAGCCACGACCTTCTGGTTACAAGACGAGCTAACTCTTAGACGATTGAGCCACTGGGACCCAATGGATCTCTAACTGGTGTCAACTCGTGAACATTCATGTAAGCAATAAAATTCCCGTAAATCAACACTTAATAATTAATCTGATACTCACTAGCAACCGGCCCTATTCAAGTAAGTAGTTGTAATGAGAAGTCATAAACAGCGGGATCCAATAAGTCAGGCAACAGGACGGTTACTCGTCTCTGACATAGGCTGGTAGTTGCATTAACAAACTGATAGAATCTTGGATTAGATGCAGCTGGCAGAATGGTCTGCGAAGCTCACCTTGTAACCACCGGAAGGTCTTGACTTTAGACCCCAATGGATTGCGTGCATATCGCAGAGGAGTCCCAGTCTACGCGGAAGAAACAGCTGGGTGTCCAGCACTTCTAACTGGTTTTCCAATGGTTCTCGAAAATATGAAAGAATAAAGATAGAACAACCTGAAATTCAATAGACAACATGATTAAATAGACGACAGAAGGATTAAGTACTTACCTGAATTCTTCATGTTCAAATGCAATATGTTGGGAAAATAAGACTACTCACAATTATCGTCAATATAATAAAATAAATAAAATTTTAAAAGGTGATAACGTAAACTAAAATAAGACTCAGCAAAATGGAATAAATATAGAATAAAGAAGAATAGAGAAGTTTTGTGAATTACATGATAAAATTAAGAACACAGTGATGAAAGAAATTGCACAAATAGTTCTTGTAAAGTTCTGGTTTTATGTTGTGTAGTATTAAAAAGCTTCCGCTATACAATGCGATTGTACTCATATTCCGGTGGACCCAATTAAACAAAATAATGTAATCTACAAAGTACCTTGCGATGACTGTGAATGAAGTTAACTACATAGGTCAAACTAGAAGGTAGAAGATAGTCAGATTGTCGGAACATAAGAATTTAGTGGCTAAGGTTATATTATTATTATTATTATTATTATTATTATTGTATCCTTTAGTTCCTAGAGGAACATAGGGCTTCAGCTGCGCACCTCCATTGACTTCGGTTTTCTGACAACTTTTTCAACCTGCTCCAGGTCTGTCCACATGCTTTCATCTCCTCCTCGCATGACCTCCTCCAAGTCACCCTTGGACGACCAACTCGCCGCCTCCCTTTCGGGTTCCACTCGAGGGCTTGTCTAGTGATGTCACTTGATGGTTTCCTCAGCGTATGGCCAATCCATCTCCATTTCTTTCTGCCTATTTGTTTCACAATCGGTTCCTGATTGGTTCGCTCCCAGAGATCCCTGTTGCTGATCTTTTCTGGCCATCTGATCTTGAGTATTGAGCGGAGACAGTTGTTAATGAAGGTTTGAAGTTTGTTTGAGATGCTCTTTATGACTCGCCAAGTCTCTGATCCGTATAGTAGCACTGACTTCACATTGGAGTTGAAAATCCGGATCTTATTTTTGATGCTGATTGCTGTTGACCTCCACACAGATTTGAGAGTAATGAAAGCTTGTCTTGCTTTTCCGATTCTGGCTTTGATGTCCTCGTCAGTTCCGCCTGTAGTTGAGACGATGCTTCCCAGGTAGGTGAAGGAGGTTGTTTCTTTCAGGTTCTTCCCATTTATGCTTATTGTGGTCTGTTGGTGTTGTTGCTGTTGATGTTGGCTAGGAATCTTCATTATCTCTGTTTTATCTATGTTCACGTGAAGTCCTATCTTTGATGCTTCTTCTGCCAACTTGTTACTTTTCACTTGCATATCTTCCAGTTTATGGGAAATCAGACATATATCATCGGCGAAATCCAGATCCTCCAAGTCTTTTGTGTCAGTCCATTTTATGCCTGTTCCCTCGTTGGTTGCCGTTGTCTGTCGCATTATCCAATCAATTGCAATCAGGAAGATCATTGGTGATAGTAGACAGCCTTGCCTCACTCCCGTCCTCACTTCGAAGGCTTCCGTAAGTTTCCCGTTGTGGATTACTTGGCATGCAGCATTGTCGTATAACTGTTGGATGAGGTGTATAATTGTCGATGGGACCCCGTAGTAGCGAAGTAGTTTCCAAATGACCTCTCGATCGACGCTGTCGAAGGCCTTTTCAAAGTCGATGAAGTTGAGATAGAGAGGTGACTGCCATTCCAAGCTTTGTTCAATGATGATCCGTAGAGTGGCGATTTGATCAATACATGATTTGTTTCTCCTGAATCCAGCCTGTTCCGGACGAAGTTTTTCATCTAGGGCTTGTTTGATTCTCTCCAGGATGATGCGACTTAGTATCTTGCTTGGAATGGACAGAAGCATAATTCCACGCCAGTTTTTACATTGACTTAAGTCTCCTTTCTTTGGAAGTTTGAATAAGTAACTGTTCTTCCAATCCTCGGGTACTTTGCCCTCTTTCCACACCTTCTCCAGTAGTGGTGTCATCAAGTCCGCTGTTGTCTCTGGGTCTATTTTCAAAGCCTCTGCTGGGATTCCATCTGGTCCCGGTGTTTTCCCAGTTTTAAGCATCTTGATTGCATTCAGGACTTCTGATTTCGTCGGGGGGTCAGTGTTCACTGGTAGTTCTGCTTCCGTTGTTGGTATTGCTGGACGTGTTGTAGGTGGCGGACGATTTAGAAGTCTTTTGAAGTGTTCAACCCAGTGCTTTCTCTGTTCCACCTCTTTGGTGATTGACTTTCCATTGTCGTCCTTTATTGGCTTAATCTGTGTCGAACGTTTGCCCGAAAGGTTCCTAGTTGTTTGGTAGAGTGTGGCGAGGTCTCCTTTGCCTGCAGCTTGTTCTGCTTCGTTTGCCATGGTTTCATAATATTTTCTTTTGTCTTCCCTGGCACTTTTCTTCACTCTTTTGTTCAGTGTATTGTAGCTTGCATTCAGCTCCTGTTTTTGTTGCTCGTCCGTGCACTGGATAATCTTTTGCTTCACTGTCCTTCTCTCTTCTATTAGTTTCCAAGTGTCCGTAGTGAGCCACTGTTTGTCCTGTCTCTTTTTTCTGCCTAGAATTTCTATGCAGGTTTGGCTCCACACCGTTTTCAAGTTGTTCCAGTGCTTTTCAACGCCGACCTCTTCGCTAGTGTTGATTTGTGTCTCGGCTTTGTCCTTTATGCTTGCAATGAAGATGTCCTTTGTAGCCTGGTCCTTCAGCTTTTGAGTGTTGAACTTGGCTTGTGGTCTATCTGCAGCTCCTGATTCCCTGAAAGCTTTTAATTTGATTTGGATTGTCCCTTGTACGAGATAGTGGTCTGAGCCAACGTCTGCTCCTCTTCTTGCTTTTGTGTCCAGTAGGCTGCGCCTCCACTTCCTTGAGATTGAGATGAAGTCGATTTGGTTTTTGGTTTGCCCGTCTGGTGACACCCATGTAGCCTTGTGGATATCTTTGTGCTTGTATACACTGCCACCAATCACCAGTTCGTTGAAGGCGCAGAAGTCGGCGAAGAGTTCTCCGTTTTCATTCATTTCTCCTAGAGCTTCTCTACCCATGATGAGTTCCCTTCCCGTATTGTCTGGTCCCAGTTTGGCGTTCATGTCTCCCATT